ATCACTGGATTCGGGAATGACTATCTGATTTGAAAAAATAAATCTTCTTTGGATAATTTTCCCTTCGATTTTTCTTTTTTCTTTTTTTTTGTATTATTTGCATCTTTTAATTAAAAATTTTAATATCCCATTGTGAATGTAAATTAGGAATTTTAATGTAAAATTGCAAGCTATAATATAAAATGAAATGTGCTCAAATAAAGCTGAGAATATTCACGTTTAACAGCTGAAAAATTATTTTTGCATCAATCTAATATAATAAAAAATCATCATGGTGTCCGTTTAATTTATTTTTACGTTAAATACTTTTATAATTTTATATTTAACACAGTCATCTTTAATATTCCATTGAACAAAAAAGACTGAAAAACATTGAAACACTTGGTAAATTTAACGAAGCTTAATAAAATATTTATTTCCAACACAAACCAATCACGAAATCTCTTCGTAATTGCATTATCACTCGTCACAATATCCGTTATCGATTCCACATCGCTCGAAAGCGCCACGGATTTTATTTTTCAGCTCGAGTTAGCATTATCGCGGAGGATTATAAAGCTACGTCCCCGGATATTACAGCGACGCGTGAAAAGCAGCTGTTTCGAACGATAATCTGCTTGGAACGTGTCCAAAATTAGCCGTGTAACCGCTTCGAATCGGATTTCGTCATTTTTGAAAAATCGACCAAAAATCTACCTGCAATTTTCCAGGTGAAAATAAATGCGATGATCGTTTAAAAAAATTACTATAAAAATGACGAAGGACGAAGCTGTATATTCTGAACAATTTCACTTGTGGGTAGTTGCATAATTTTTATGTAATTAATTCGTGGAAAATATATATATATATATATATATAGTTGGCAGTGGCTATATATATATATTGTATAACTGAAAGTTTGGCTGGGAAAATTTGAAACATTCTCGTCACAACTCCGATCGATTAGTTGATTAATTTGATGGAGCATGGACGCGGAGAATTATCGGTGACTAAATTGACGAATTAATGACACGCCGAGGGAAACGCTAATTCGGAATGGTAGGGAAGTTTTAATGGGAGTAAACGGAATGGGAAATTTCGTATATGGAACAAGCGCGTCAATGAAAACGTTGTTACCAGGGCTGAAAGTTTTGGCACGAACGCGCCACTCCGAACAGTCATTATCGAAGACATAAATCAGGCGAAATTTCCTCGAACGAAACGAAAACGCGGGAGATAGTTAGGCGAACCGAAACTCGCGCGAGTTTTGCAATTAAAGCTCATGCAAGGGAAAGACTGCGAAAGGGTTGTAACAGAGAGAATCCTAATTGCCAGTCTTTGGATTCGTAACGAATATATTGAAATTTATATATAAATGAGAGCGGTTTAGGTGAGATTCCTGTAGACGAACTCTGTTTTATAGTTGGCAGTGGATAGACATTGAAATTGGGGGTAATTATGAGCTCAAGGATAGAGTGAGGGTAAATTAATCTTGTAAAGACCTAAGCAAACTTCCAAGAGCTGGAGTTGAAGCTCTGAGCTTAAGTGGGTGTTATGGTTTAAGAGGTTCAAAGACCGATTTTTTCAGAAATTGTATTCTTACAGTAGCGTTGAAATTATTCTTTATTATGAAAATTGAATAAAATTAATTGTTTTTTTTTTGGAGCAATAAAAGTCTGTTCCGAAGATTAGAAAATGGCGTAGCTTGCGAAGGTTTGATGGCAGGGTTTTAGTATTTTTTTCCCCTATCGGAGGAGGCTTCATGCTAGTCGTTTCAACACGTTGCATTGCAGTAGATCGATGTACCGTGAGTTCAGGGTTACGTTGTAAGGCCTCCTCCTCGTCGACGGAATCTGCAGTAGCACGTGCGGCGCGCGTTAATCGTCGACAATGCAGCAATTTCCTGGAAAAACTTCTTCTGATTTTTTTCAGTTATTGGATTCCTGTTGCGGCCAGAAGAGAAATTTAGGTCGTCGAAGTGCATCCCAAGTGGAATATCTTTTGAAATTGTTCGTGGATTCCAGATGTTTCCAGGGAAAGTTGATTAAAAATGTTCTTTTTTATGTTTTGATTTTATTAACGTTACACATCGACAGAGCTGATTCTTGCGAACAGTAGAAATTAGAAATAAATATTAGAATCATAGAGATTGAGAATTTTAATACGCGAATGAGGAATTTAATGGGATACTGAGAATTAAAAATTTTAATTGTACTATTTTTGATTAATAATTATAACAATTTAAATGTGGGAATTTAAAAATGGAATTGAGAAATTTACAATCTGTGATATTGAGAGTTTGAATATAAAACGAGGCAAGTACCACTGAACAATTAGTTTTACAATGTAACCCAGAAGAATGTACCACCCTCCAAACTTTTCTCTTCAAAATCTAATCTTGACTACTACCACCGGAACGTAACCACCCTAAGTGTCGTTAATACCTTGTCAGGAGACCGTACAGTTTAAAAACTAATTCTGTAAAAAGAAATTGCCCACTCCGCAAGAGCACAAAGTTTAAAACCAATCTTCAAGAAGCATAGTATCCCTGCAATTTTTCTAAAAAATTGAATGGAACCTGCATTTAAAAAAAAACGATCCTATTAAAACGTAACACACGGTGAGGATGGTTATTATATAAACTCACGAAACTACAAAACTTCTCAGTTTTACATTGAAATTTCGAATCTCATATAAAAACCTTTAATATTCTATCTGTATCATCAATCTTCGATTGAAGGTCTTTATTAATAAATAAAAATTCTCAATTCCATATTGAAATTCTCGATTTTACATAAGAATTGATTCTCATTGTCAGTTTCATTCTCAATCAATAGATAAAAATTCTCACATTAATCTTTCCAGTTTCTCGTTAATCACCCAACGTAACAACTTCTCGCGATTATTTTCGCTCGTTTCACCTACAACGCAAAACGTTTTCACCCGGAACAGAGGGCACCGGACCGTCAGGATAATTCACATTTGTCCAGGCCCTCTCGAAACGAGCGTAACTCGCGCTTACTTTACGCTTCCCTGTCAGCCGTTAGGATTCACAGTTAATTAATTCTGTCTCACGGAATTATAATTCTATTGTGTGTCTCCAGCTGTGCGTCGTTTCGCCAGCTTCTCTAGCTAGTAATTAACCGAAATAATCTCTTTTGTCGGGACGCTCTGTTTGCTGTTTGCGACTTCAATATATAGGAAACGAACACTGTTATTGCTATTACAGAATTTTTACTGATCCAATTGTTTTAATTATTACCAAGCACTTCTTTACTCCTAAATCTTATTTCAGATGTGTTCTTAGTATAAGGAGTAACATTTAATGATATTACTGTACGATTTTTCCTATGAAAAATATCTTCAAGTTACGAGGATTTAAACTCAGATCCTCAGTAGTAACAGTAAAAGCTCTTCCTGGCTGGGCCATTCCTCCTCGTCGATAACATTTGTAATAATTCTGAATATATTACATCCTTCCAGCGGAATAGACAAAAAAGTAATTATGTAACGCGTGTAAATAGTCGGACAGTAATAATAAATAATAATCCGACTAATAATTATCAAAGAATGCTGTTGTCTGAACCATACAGGGAGAGTACCATTAGTTCAGAGTTCAGCGAGCAGCCAACCGAAGGGTAACATCAGTTTTACGTCGCCTTTCCAGCCGATATAAATCACGCCTGTCGGCTATTACACGGTGAGAAAAGATATTACGAGACGAGGAAGGGGATAATGCAACGAAGCTCGAGAGTTTCTCTGGGAAACGATAGCGGGTGGAAGCATCAAAGATTATACGGTCCAGAGGAGAGGAAGTTTCTACGCGAGAGCTGGACGGTATTTCCGTAAATGGAAACGGTGAATTACTCGAGCAAAAAACGCAGGAGAAACATGTGTATAAGACATTGGTGGTGCGGCAATATAAGTGGGTTGGATTAGGAAGCAAGGTGGGTTAGGTAGCTTCGAAGTCGGTAGCTTCGATACAGGTAGGTTTGATTTACGAATTTTAAGTGTAAATAGCTTTGACGTAGGTACCTTTGATTTATGTACCTTATGTGAATTTTTTTAACTTCGATTTTTATAGATTTGTGTTAGATAGTTTCATTTTGGGTAGGTTTTGATTGAAATGGGTTGAATTTTGGTAGTTCTGCCTTTGATAGTTTTGCCTTAGGTAGACTTGTTTTATGACCTTTCCTGTAGGTAGCTTTAGCTTAGGTAGCTTTGCTTTATAGACTATTAGGTAGGTAGTTTTGGTTTAAAAAACTTCGATATTAGTAGATGTTTGCTTTAGGTAGCTTTGATTCTGCTAGCTTCGGTTTGGGTAGCTTTACTATAGCTAGTTTTACTTTATATAGTTTGCTTTCAAGTAGTTTGATCGAAGATTTCTCCGGCTTAGATAGCTTTTCTTTACGTAGCTTTGATTTAGGTAGCTTTGAAGATTTATTCCACTGTCGCTTTACGTACAACATTGCTTTAATATAAATTTCTGAAATAATCACACACATTCTGCACTCACTACTAATTCATAATCAATATCAGGAAAGATATATCCTCTTGAATAAAAAAAGAAATACAGATTTGCAGCTGTTGCAGGTTTCAGGATGAAATAATCTGACCTCATTTGACCTCTACAAGAGACAGGAATATTATGAAAGATTGACACCTGTTTGGTGAAGTGTAAGGAATCACTCGAGATTCTGAATACCAAATCGACAGAAAATATTAATTTACGATCACAGAATGTGACCGACTTTCCTGACCTTTATAAGAGGCAATCAAAACAGGTGTTCATATTAATATTCAAGAAAGAAGGATGGACTCTGAAAAAGTCTAAGGATTCCCTCTGGAACAATAAAAAAAGAAAAGTGAGTGAACGCAAACGAGTGTCCACATTAACTACTGAGAGCAAATACCAGAGTACAAGTGGTGAACTTCTATTTAGGAACTACAAAGACACTGAAAAGACCAGTTTTATCTCGATCATCAACTATTTCATTAACGAAGAATCATACTATTCTTACCTGACTTTCTGCTCCGTGTCGATGTAACCACTCCTTCCCCTCCTCTTCCACGGCACAAAGAATCACAGTTCGCGGTAGAACGTTACGAAGTAAACTAATCCCGAGCAGTCATCGAGGTGGACACCCAGCTCCCCTATTCAACACACAAGCTCTAACCGTAGAAACGCGACCCGCGACGATAACGATTACAACACCCCGTCGACGAACCCCAGGTAGCCCCCGTCGCGTTCCCTGGGTCGCTACGCGCCTAATGCACCTACGTTTCACCCCCTGTGTGCGTCTGTGTGTGCATACGTCTTATGCGTGTCCACTAACTATACCAGTTCCCGGACTACGCTCAATTAGACCCGCACATCGCCTCGTCTTTCACTCTTTTCGCCTCCAGGAGTTCCACCCTCCGCTCTATGGGGATCCCCTGGCACGTTGGCTCCTTCAGGTTCGATCTCTGCTACTCTACTCGCGGCCAACTTATGGCTGCCCTCCACTAGGCGTTCCTCGCTGATAAGACGATATGTTTCGGCTCCCCCAACGACGGCTGGCCTGATACGGGGGCCAGTTCTGTCGTCGTCCACCCTCTTGGCTGCGGCGATGATCCTCTTCGACGGCCACCCCGTTCCCGTTCACTTGGATACGTGCCTGGATTCTTCTAAACTAACAGAAATTCCGACACGCACGACTCTCTCTCTCTCTCTCGCTCTCTCGCTCTCTCGCTCTCTCGCTCTCGCTCGCACGCTCAAACGACACACACGGCGACCGGTACTGCTTGGCCAGAGTCACATTTTAGTGCGACACACACTAAGGGTGCTGCTGAGTTACGCTCCGCGGGGCCCCCACTCCGCCCCTGCGCGATTGCCCCTTGGTGAGAGCCGCGGAGGGGCAAACGCCCACTACTGACGCCCCCCACTCTTGGCGGTGCGTCTCGGTTTGCGCTTGGTCCTTGTAGGAAAGCGCGAGAGGGGGAGACCCCCACTCTTGGTCACCATAGGAGTCTCTGTCGTGCTTGGTCCTTGCTGAGAATGATGGAGGGGTAACTACTGACGCCCCCCACCCTACTGACGCCCCCTCCCGCTCCTTCCATAAACGCCTTGGTCGTGTTTGGTGGTTGTCGGAAAGGTGAGAGAGGTAACCTCCCACTACCGATGGTTCTCCCACTCTTAAAGGTGCTCCCCTTCGGTTGACAGGACACCCTGGTTGTTAGCGATGGAAACGAACCTGGTGTTATTAGGGGATGGTCGATGGGTTGGTGGTTTGTTTTTGTTGGATAAGGTGGAGGAGGATGTTGGAATTTTGAGGGAATGGGAATATGGGGTTTATTGATGTTTGAAGGGTTTGGGGTAGATTGTTGAAATGTGTCGGGATTTGGAGACCGATTGGTGAAGACTGAATGAAAATCGGTGGGACGGAAGGAAATTAAACAAAATTGAATAAAATTGGGCGAAATTCAAACAAAAGTAGAACAAAAATTGAACAAAATTCTTAGTAATTGAATGAAACTGTACAATATTGGCAAACAGACAAAACTTACCAAACTGAACGCATCGAACAAAATTATGTTTGGTCAATTCCTTTACTAGCAACCCCTGAGCCATCCCCTCTATGGGCTTCGCCGTTGATGCTGTGCCATGCTTCCCCTTTCGTGGCCAATAAAATACAACGCTGTACAACTTTCAGGGGTGCCCTGTCCTTTCTAAAATTTTGTTAATTTCTGAATATTTTTATAATCTTGCGATCTTTTTGCCTTCTTCTTTTTCTTTAAGGCTTCTAGTACTCTAGGTTCCTTCTTCTTCTTCTTCTTCTTCTTCTTCTTCTTCCTTTTCTCTAGGACTCTAACCTTCTTTCCATCACTATTCCTACGTCACTAAAAAAAAAAATGGAATAAATGTTCCAAAAATATTCCAGACGAACCCTCAAATATCAGACCTTTACCGTATCGATATTCCACTATCAATGCAACATTCGTTCAAATATTTATCTAACGGTCTAATTCATGGACCAATCACAGAACAGGGTCGAAAATACGTCATCCCCGGATGGAAAGTTTCTTCCAAGAGAATGCCATGATCAATCATCCCTCTAGCTTGACGCTAAGCAAGAAACCAGAAGCTCTTCCTGATCATCATTCCCGGTCATCAACAATTTCCACTTCTCGCGTCTGACAAATGGCCACTTTTGTTAATTCATTACCAACGAATTTCCATGCTATGGATCACCCTAATCTGATTGTTATTCGGGTCGCAAATTTAATCTTGCCAGGGTTCCAGACGATTATCGATTAACCAAACTTCTGCAATTCCTTCCGAACCACTAAAACATTAACACAGAATTTCTTGGCCACTTGCTCATGGGGACCCTCGACGCTAACAAGATCGAACTATCGTTGGAGACGTCACACTGGGTCTGGGTGGAATGTACATAAAAGTCAGATGAACGATAACATTGACATCTGACACTTTGAAGTTGACATGGATATTGAAATTTTGTTGAGTAGCATTAGATAGCTTTAGAACTTTATATAGCTTTGAGTTGCTATGCTCCAATAAAGGCAGCTCTGCTTCACATTTCTTTACTTTAGGTAGCTTTCCTATACGTAGTTCCATTTTAGGTAGTCTCGAGTTACTAAGCTCATATAACCCAATGGCGTTCATTCAATTTTGTTGCAATGTTTCTGTATCGATACTTCACCTTTGTCTTCAGTGGACACTCGATTACAACACAAACGGTACCTTAGAAATGATACATTCCTGACAGCCACCCCTACGACAACGACAGCTTATCCCCTCTGTCCTGGCCACCCCAGTCGCATCGTGGCATCGAAACCACCCCTGGCTGAACGTTTGTACGCAGACGTGCTATCTAGATACGCGTTTATCTAGACCGTGTCTGCCTTTCCGGCCTGGTTGAATGGACAGGACTTGTTTTGATCCGGCTCCTAAGCCCGGAAGTCGGGAATTCCTGAACACCGAGGCGATGCGAGACTTGGCACAATGGTGTTGGAAAGGTGAAACCAACCCTTCGCGATTCAAATGATTCCGGATGATTTAACGACGAGCATTGGCTGGCTCGTGCAGAAATTAAGCGGAATTGTTCGCCTTCCAGAGGAAATTTAAGCTTACTTTAATAGGTTAACTGCTAGCAATATTTGGGAATATTTCTGGGTTAGGTCTTAATAAATTGAAACCTGTTATGGTTAATTGAATTAATTAAATTAAAGTACCCATTGATAACAATTAACTTTAGGACGAATTACGTATATTTGTTTGTATTTATGTACATATTATCTATATTTTGCTGTGTATATCTAAAAAATAATTCATCAGAACACCGTAGATCTTCGAATGGATACAATCCTACCCTATTCTTCGATACAATTGAGGTTTGGTGAGGTTTTATGAGCTTCAATGAAGCTTGAATAGCTTCTATTGTTCTCTGTTACTCGATACTCATTTATAATTAAAATCCTCTCTTGGGTCATTCCCTGGACCCCCCCCCCCCCCCGCCCACCCCACCCCACCCCCCAACTGGAATATTGATTTTCCTCCACTTTCCCTAAATGAAAATCTGCGATATTCGAAAAGTAGATTGAAACATAGAAGTTAAATCGTCCTCCTGTTTGTACTGGTCGCAGGGGAACGAGGTTGTTAATTCAGGTGGGGCACGTTCCAGCAACGAAACGTTCGCTGTCAGGGAAACATCGATCGATAATTTTCACCGTGACTATTATAGTAAATGCCTTGAATTATTCTGTCCCGGAGATCTCCACGTGAAACACCCCCGAAAACTATGCGAGGCAAACATAACTGGCTGTACTTACGCTGGCTTTCACCCCCAGCGTGTCGTTCACGGCAGTACCGTAGTCGTAAAGAGAAAACAAGGGAAGCTGAAGAATCTTGTCTAATAAGAGGCTATGGAGTCGTAAAAACAAGGGTTGTCTAGTCGTTATAGTTTACCGGGTGCTATAACTCAACTCTCCTGACGTTAGAGACATGGTCGAATGGGTACAAAAAGCTTCAAAAGTTTCTTGGAATTTATTTTTTTAAGGGTGGAGGATTTCCTTCGTGTTTAAGTGTAACTTCGACACTTATGCTTTCATATTTAAGTGTAACTTTAGTATTTATACTTTCATATCTTATAGTAAAAGTTTTAACATTTCTCCTTTCTTAAATAACTTCAAATCTCTCCCTCTCTTCCTGTCTCTGTCTCTTAACTTCCATTATTGAAAATTCTCTATTTCTTCGTTCAAACTTATACTTTTCTTCGTGGAAAACATTTTGTTTTTGCACTTTTACGAAGAAAAGCTTTTACCTTAAAAAATTTAATTTAAATTCTTCTGGTAAAAATAGATCCGCTAAGGCATAGTTCTCGAAAACATCGTTGTTGAAGTTTTATGCGCAGTAAATATTATTTTCAATTTCCGAGAACGCCTAATTTCTTTTTTGCTCACATATATCCTCTTGTAAAAGTATTATATACGCGATGGTGCCCCGATTGCTACGGCCCTGGTTCCAACCCTCTTTGATCGCAAACTCCTACGTTCGCCCCTCTTTTCGCACGATCTTCCCCACCCTGCACCCAAAGAATTCTCCTATTGACGTTCCACCTTCTCCATGCGTTTCCCTGCCCCCCTCTGTATTCATCCGTCCAGTACACCCACGCGTACTATCCCTTTTGCGTGCTACAGTTAGGTTCTGACGTAACGATGTTACGTCAGAACGGGACTGTACGACGCTGTACGTAAAACCATACAGATATTATCTGCATGGTGGATGCATCTGCTCGCTACATAGTAAGATATAGACTCGATACTTCTGTTAAAACTTTTAATATTAGTGTCTATATATACCCTGAAATAATTTACCTGCTTTTTATCTAATTATCAAATTCATCTAATTATATATTTATATATAACTTCACGTAAATAGTTCGAATTTGTAACATTCGATTAATTGGGTGCATCCATAAATGCCGCCGCTCACTAAGCCGCTAAGTGAGCGAGTAATCTTAAGAATTTGTATCAGTGGCGCCATCGGTGGAACAATGCTCAAGTTTGTAGTGAAAATAATTCCTACCTTATCTCCTAAGAAGTGGTATCACCGACCGGTACATGTGAGGTAGAATTATCGCGAGATTGCTATCTTGTCTATATTTGAACGTGGTGCAGGAGGCGGGTTAGGTTAACCTTCCGTCTCACGTAGGTACTTTCCGGATATGACTCCTTCGGAGAGTACCTGCATTGAATTATAATTGCGATGTTAAAAAAAACCAAAATGCTTCGGGTGCAAAGGGTTAAATAAATAATATTCCTCGCACTCACTGTGTTAAGTTTCAAAATGCGAATTAGGATGTATTTGCCTTTTATTTTGTCTGCCTTTGTATTATGGTCAAAGAGAATTCATGTTGTGAACTTACTTTCAAATTCACTTGATTCCCTTTTTTCCGAATTCGACGCGGAACATGAGATTTTTATTGTATTTAAGGAATGTTTGTTTGAATAAGTGAAATCTGTGTTTACAGTACTCGATAAAGGGTCCTGTAAAAGTACTTTAAGAAGGAAGTAAAGTAGGCTAATCCTTCAGTCTTGCTTATATTCGTGATAGGTATAAACTCCTCATGTCCATCTTATGTAGGGTAACAACATTGTGTAATCATGGTCTATTATTCGTAATTTCATGGGACAAGCATACTCATGATCAACTTGATTTCCTTTAAAAGGTCTGTCTCTTTTCCTTGGGTTTATATACTTCTCATTTTCTTTCTCATTGCAATACAAATGATCTATCTGGGAGACTGTTCTTGTAGTTACAGGTGACAATACTCTCGCAGGTAAAAATGGGGATGACGAATAGTGGTGGTCATGAATTAAGTTCTCACATAATTTGAGGGGTAATCTGTTTTTAGGGCAGAAGCAAAACAATGTAGGTACTGCAGTCCTTTTCAGCTGCCAAGCATCTATGTTCTCCCATTGGTCAGGTGCGAAGTGAAACTATAAATCCATGAAATACATGCACCAATTAAACTAAATTTTAGATAATAACATTACTGCAAGATACCTGCTTTTTGTAAAATGGAAGCTCACAGTTAAATTTAGAGAAAATTTTGAGGTACACAAACGGAGAAACTGTTTAATTACCTCGCAAACATAGCTGTTTGTATCAAATTTGTAATTCGGTCTATTAATTTGATATATCCACTTTGCTCGTAACTCTTCATTCTTTGGAATTTTTTTTAGAACTTTCGGGAAAGAAACTTCATTTCCTAAACGATTCGGACAATTCTCTGCACAACATGTCATGTTAATACACAGTATCTCTGAATCAGATTTTGTAATATTCTCATAAATCCTTTATCAAAGTTTCAATGACTGTCATACTTTCATAGGGAAAAATGGTACTTTAAGTACTTATTATTAGTTATTTAGTAATTGGAGAACTTGAATTGAAACGGTCCAAAATTTTTGCTAGTAACGCACTTGAGCGCACTTTATGATGACAGAATGACAGTAGGATTACCAATGACTATTAATGACTGATATACGACTAGATATTAGGTATGACTGATTAAGCTACAACTGATTGCCGTCAGAGGACTTCAAGTCCTCTTCGCATATGCGCAATCCGTCGACAATGAAAACAGTGACATACATACATACCCAATGTTCTGAAATTTGTTTCTTGTTTATAAAATATGCATAATTCTTATTTTTAGATCTATAAGAATATTTTTGTTTTTCGCCACAATCCTCGTATTAATATTTAAATAAATTACGTAAAATTTTAAAATTATGTTCGAATGTGTAATAATTTGAATCGATCAATTTCAAATCTTTAGATTTTCTAAATAAAAATTACGTTTGGTTCTTCTCCTCTTGATGCTAATTATTCACAGCTATCTATTTCAAATAAAAAATAAAATTGGAAAACCATTGAACGCACAGAAAACAAAGTTGAAAGGGTAATATCAATGTAAATACGGTAATCGTGAAATGTATTTAAATCTCTCGGTTCACAGCATAGATATATTGTATTACTTACATATTTAATTTAGTCGACAAACATAAAATGTGCTACATATAATATATTATGAAGGTAATGCCAATGTAGTGAAATTGCATACAAAAAATAAAAGTATAAATAATTGATAATAAATGTAAAGATTCTTTCTTTGTCTTTAAGTAAGTATTAACATTTTATAAGGTTTATTACGTTACGTTTTTTCTTTACATGGAAGTACATTGTATTTGTCAACTTTATTAAATTATTTATAAAATTCTAATTTTATAACTTATAACACACTGGAAAATATACAATAAAAATAATTTTATTACCAAATTGTGAAAACATGTGGTTCTTAGGATGTGATAAATTAATGATTAACGATTTTCATTGATTAGTTTGTTGATTATTTGTTTGATTTGTTCTAGTACGTAATGTCTTTTGTAATACATGAGCATCCGCTGGTTCTATTCTCTTATAATAGTGTATTTTTGTTTCAACTATTTCAAATCCAAATTTTTTGTAAAAGTCAATGGCTCCTTCATTGCTAATTTGAACATGGCTATAAAGAAGAAATACAATTCAAGAGCTGGAAATCGTTACTTATATTATTAATGTATTTGCTTAGATACTTACAGAAAAATTGAATCAAAGTTTCCATCTTTGTTTACACAGTTTAAAACATGTTGTACCATTACAGTACCAATTCCTAACCTTCTGTAGGGATAAAGACATCCCAAAGTCATAATATATAAACGCCTAGAATTTTCAGAAGTATCTACTCGGCAACAAACTGCGCCAACCTAAAATAAGCAACATAAGGAGTTGATCATTTTAATAGCAAATTTTTTTCATGATTAATAGCTTTGTAAACTAATAAATGTTAGGGGTGACCATACTACTATATCATTATAATATGCTAGTTTTGCTAGCTCTCCAGCTTCTAATACATCCTTGTAAAATTTCTCATTATATGAGACTGGAAAAACTACTTGGTTAAGAAGCTTCAGCTGCTTTATATTGTGTGGTGTTACATCTCCTAATTCTATCTTTGATCTGTAATTAAAAATTGTTCATTCTTATTAGACATCAAAAGTTCATTACATTCAATTGTGTCTAATATTATAACGGAAATTATTTAAACAATTCGATTTTTACTTAATATAACGAAGATATTGAAAATTCGATATTAAAAGAATGAATAAGTTAAGAAAAAAAAATAATTTTTATTTGAATTTAGCCGATTATTTTTTGTCTGCTACAATTACACGCTTTCAAGCAAACGTGCTCTTGAAAACGGAAATTTTCAACGTTCTAATTTATTACCAGTTATCGTAAATAACAAATACTAGGAAAATTTTCACACAGTATTATAAACTGCATGTTGAAATACGAAAAGTGTAATCATTGTTTAAGATATTTTGACTTGTAATATAAAAATATAACCTCAAAAATATTGAAACTTACCTAGTCATATTAGGAAAATGCCAAAATTTTCTAAGATTTCTAGAATAAACAGTAACAATAAATTTTGACACTAATGGTTTTAGAAGACAAAACGTTAACACATAACTTTTTGTGTACGATGCACTTAAAGCCGTGCCGCTTTTATTCCCTTCGCTCACCCTGAAATCTTATTAGTATAGTAGGTTAAATATATACTTGCTTCTTCAAATTTTGATAGCTTTCAGAATACGTAACAGCTTTTCGTTTGGCTAATAGCTAATGAATTTCAGTTATGAAAAGAATATAATGGTTTGATATGAATAATAAAATAAAACGACCACTACATTTTAATTAATACGATAATTAGATTGAAGTACATTATTCAGGATAAACAAATATTTAATATATTTATATAATTTTAAATAAACCAAATTTTTTAACCTGGCAAATTATCTTGTTCGTTTGTTTAGTTAGTTACAAATAAAATTACCCTTTTTTTTAAAAATATATCAATGTATTATACTTTTATTACAATTGTTATTATACGATTTCTAAATATACAATTTTATGCAATTTCTGAGATATACGATATAAGTTCAAAAGTTATTAAGATAGATGATTTAAGATTAATACAAATTATTCGATGCATATACAAGTAATTAAATTTTCTAATTAATTACACGTGTTCTGTGTTTAATTTAAATTAAAGTGGTTCTAAATCGGAAAGAAGTATGATAAAAGTATATAATGATATACCGATTTCATATTGGAAATTTTATGTGTATCTAATGTTATTGCTGTACCGAAAAAAATAATAATTGAAGGAAAAATGTGTCATTATTTTTTTATAATGTTATTTTAATCGGTATCTATGTATTACGTTTGAGCTGCATTGGCGCGAGCAGCGTGTAGTAAACGTCACTTTCAAATTGCACATCGTTTCTTGTTTATAAGGATTATTTTTTATTTCTATAATAATGTCAGATACCAAAAGAGAACACAATGAAAGTGATAACGATGAAGAATGGGTTGGACCATTGCCTTCAGAAGCTGCACCTCAAAAGAAACAAAAAGGTTATTTGTATAACCTATATGTATATCGCAAATTCTGTAGCAAGTCTTTTATGTGTAGCTTTTTCATTTAATTTATTTTTTGCAGTTTTGGAATACGAACAAGTATACTTAGATAATTTACCATGTTGCGAGTGTTACGAAAAATCTTATATGCACAGGGATGTAATTACGCATATCTTAGTAACAAAGTCAGTATTGTTTACGATATTTTTGTGCTATACTTTACTACCTGGGATCTTAATAATAAGCATAATTGAATTTGTTTTGTTGTATTTATTCAGATCAAACTTTGTGATAACGGCTAGCTGTGATGGTCATGTTAAGTTTTGGAAGAAACAAGATGAACTTGTAGAATTTGTAAAACACTTTCGTGCACACTTAATGGCTATACAATCTATGGCAGCTAGTTGTAATGGTGTTCATGCGTGCACAGTTAGTTTAGATAAAACAATAAAAATTTTTGATGTTATCAATTTTGGTAAGTATGTACAAATGTTCTAAGTTTGTCTGATATTTGCAACTTATTCTTTTGTTATCTAATTAATTTGAAATGTTATTTTAGATATGATTAATATGATCAAAATGGATTTTATACCTCTTTATTGTGAATGGATATATTCTCCTGGTGATGCGATACCAGCTCTAGCAGTTTCGGCTCAAGAGTCGAATAAAATTTTTATTTATGATGGACAGGGGACTGGGACTCCATTACATGTCTTTGAAAAATTACATACGAAACCTGTTGTTGCAATGAAAGTAAGAAAAATTAGCATAAGTATCGTAGTATATACATTTTATGTAAGAATGTTTGCATAAATTTTGATTATTTGCAGTACAATCCTGTGTATGAGACATGTATTTCCGTGGATAAAGCGGGTATTTTAGAGTACTGGACAGGACCTAAAATGGAATACAAGTTTCCTAAATGCGTTGCGTTTGATTCGAAGCTGGACACAGACTTGTTTGAGTTTGCAAAAAATAAAACTTATCCGTGTGGCTTAGCAGTAGCGCCGGATGGCAAAAAATTTGCTTCTCTTAGCGGAGATAGGAAAGTTAGAGTCTTTAATTTTCGTACTGGCAAACTGTATAGAATATTTGACGAAACATTACAAAGGTTTTCAGAATTACAACAAATGACACAGCAATTGCCGAATATGGAATTTGGACGGAGGTACAATGTTTAACATAATTAATTAAAATATTTTCTTATCTACGAATGTAATTTTCAGAATGGCTGTTGAAAGGGAATTGGATAAAACGGAAACGAATTTGGGAAATATAGTTTTCGATGAATCTGGTTACATGATTTTATATAGCACAATGTTGGGTGTAAAGCTAGTAAATTTGCATACGAATCGATGTATCAGAATTATGGGAAAACCTGAAAATATTCGTCCTATGCAATTAGCTCTGTTTCAGGTATATATATAATTAAAAAATGATATGATATTTACTCACCCTTGCACTTTGTCTACTATATCGTCTACGTATTAAAAAAAAAAAAAAAAAAACAGGGCAAAGCAAGAAAAACTACAGCGGCATTGACCGTTGAAATGGAAGCATCAGAGAATCCAACATTGGAAATGAATCGTCCTGATCCTACTCTCTTCTGTACAGCTCATAAGAAGAATAGATTTTATATGTTTACAAGGCGAGAACCAGAGGATACAAAAAGTCAAGAGTGTGACAGAGATGTTTTCAACGAGAGACCATCGAAAGAAGACATCATTTCATCTACAGAAGCTACAAATATGCAAAAGATTTTTGATACTGCAATTGTTCATACAACTCTTGGGGATATTCACGTGAATCTTTTCGGCAAAGATGTTCCGAAAACAGTAGAGAATTTCTGTGTTCACGCGAAAAATGGTTACTATAATGGACACGTGTTTCACAGAGTGATCAAGGGATTCATGATACAGACTGGTGATCCCACTGGAACTGGCACTGGTGGAGAGAGTATATGGGGAGGTGAATTCGAGGATGAATTTAGGTCTCACCTAAAACATGACAGACCTTACACTTTAAGTATGGCGAATGCCGGGCCGAACACTAACGGCAGCCAGTTTTTCATCACTTTAACACCAACCGTAAGTCGGAAGCATTTTTCATGTTTGGTTCCTATTATATTATTAATGCGACACAATTTTAATATTGTATAATGTTAATTTAATATTTTCTTTAGCCTTGGTTGGATAACAAGCATACAGTATTTGGCAGGATAGTAAAAGGAATGGAAGTTGTACAGAATATCAGTCAAGTGAAGACGAATCCAAAAACTGACAAACCTTACGACGACATTCGAATAGTTAGCGTCAGTGTAAAATAATATTCTGAAATAAATACATGTAACATTATATTTTGATAAATCTCTCTTTTTATTTGTTCCACCCGTATCCTTAAAATATTATTCCGCCTTCTGTCTCCATTGATAAAGGGCCCCTCTTGCGAAATTATATGCTCCTATTAAACTTGTGAATGCGTTCACGCTAAACAGGTTGTAATTCTTTGGGATAATTACTAGCGAATATCTGGTGGATAAGTAGTTAGTGTACTTACTGTCAAAAAATTTATATAAGAAGAACTTTCGACAGTTTCAAAATACCTAGACCATATAGCACCGGTAAGCATAAGACTCGCCGTTTGACTGAGAGATATCGTGTCAGGGGGTCGATTGATATCTCCTATTCCTGCTACCACTAAACCCCATTTAAAGGTGGGCGCCCAAAAAAATACAGTCGTTGGACCTAAAATAATACTAGTATTAGCGAAAGTAATAATAAATTGTATTGTCATAAATTTCGTTGATTGAATCCATCTTCTAACCTGCGGGGTGCAAGAAAAATGGACGAAATTTTGTTGGTAGCATCGAGGCTATTTGCGTCATTAATTTTTGATAAGCACTTGCCTTTTTTGGCGTACACATTACTATTTCGAAGTGTCTATTTTTGGATATCTTAAGTGTTACACAGTATTACAAAAGCGTTTGTTCGGTGACACGATTTTATTGAATAGCATTTAAATATTTAAAAATATTTTCATACATTTTACTAACAGGGAAAAACAGTAAATGCCTGTGGATCTTTCTTTAGTAATTACTTTTTCGTAATGTTAGTGATTCGAGAATGTTTTACACTTTTGCATTACATTCAGGCGATTGTGTCACTTTTAGCATACAGGAAAATTAAAAGTTATACGTGGAATAATGACATAAACATACTTAATTCAATATTAAGGAGATCACAGTTGGTTATACAGCAGAATAATTTCATGTCAAGTTCAAGATGAGTTGCAGAGGCAGCAAGAAACCGGAAGCATGTTGGAATGACATGGAAGAATTGAAACATTTAATTTGTGCAATTGAGTGTTGGTACGTTCATGTTTATCTTCATTGTTAAAACTTTGTATCACGAGAACATATAACATAAATAAGAGTAATAAAATAAAATAAGTAAGGGTTTTGCACTTTATTGTAGTCAGTGTCCTAGAATACCACCACCACCTGTGTGCACCTTGTTGCTACCACCAAGGATTGAAGAGCTACCAGCTCTAATGCCTCCTCCTGGACCTTGCTGTCCACCACCTCCGTGTTGTGTGCCTCCTATAGCACCTGGTCCTTGTTGTACCGGTCCTTTGCCTGCACCACCTCCTCCAAAGTGTCCCCTATTACCGCCTCCACCAAAACCTTGTTGTCCACCTTGTTGTCCATTGCCATGCTATCCAAGTGAATTCACATATTATTACGTTTATTATCTGCATGTGCTCCTTCTAAACATAATGATTTTCTGAAACACTTTTTCTTATCATCAAAAACAAGTAAGAGCGGCGAAGAATTTAATTAACGTTGTGTAATTTATAATGTAAATATTTTTATAGATCCTTACTGTTAAAAGTATGTCAACATGGATGAGCTTTACTGTGATTAAGTACCCCCGCTTTAGATCCCAAAAACGAATTTTTAATAGAATTGTTGATCAAGTAAGAAACGGAAGTGAGAGAAAGTTCACGTATTGTTTAAAATTTTTTCGACTAGTATTATTTTACATGTTGTTCGAGGAAAATACAACAGAATTAATAAATGAATTTTTATAATCTGTTAGATTCGAATTGGAGAACCCTGGAAACTTGTCGGAGCTTGTGGAAGATAATTAAACAAATTTTTTGGCCGTATACGAATTTTTTAAAAATTATTAAAATTTGCGATCATCATTGCAATTGCCATTGGACGGAATTTGGGATTTATAAATAGTTAAGCGTGTGAATAAATTTCAAGATGTTCGACAAGAAATCAGCTGTATCGAACAAACAATAAACAACATATTTTACACAAGAATTTTATTCAGATTTGATACGGTCCCTCGAATCGAAGCTTAAAATAATGACACATATTTTTCAATAGAATCACTCAATCGAAAATACTCTAATTGCTTGGAGTCAAGCCTAGTTGACAACAAATTTTTTAAGTTTCATACAGTAATAATACTTGAATATTTAAATTTTAAATCGTCAAGTGGAAACGTGCTTTTCCATTCCGTTTATCTGAAATTGTTGATATAGACGAGCTGATTAGAAATAATAGATAACTATCAATCGATGAAAAGTAGCATGGTTTTAAATAAATTCATATAATATATCATATATTTCTTTCACTCCAATCGCGATAAGCTACATTAAGAACAAAGAGATCGACAAATACCTTATTTACTATAAAACTAGTCCCTACCGACTACTGCGGTACCAAACGCTGCATTTAATTTTCGTTGGATGTTTATCTTCTTAAGTTACTTGCTGGAAAACGCTCCCCAAGTTTGAAAAAAACACGTTACAATAAACAATGAAAAATCTCGTTCGTTAACCAACCAGCAATGCTCTCGATGCCGTGGGCTGGAGTTACTTTGTCCTTCGAGGTATGCAAGGTGACATTCTACGGGGAAATTTTGAATAGAAACTTACATAACTCGCTGCGTTTCTTATAGCTGGAAAATGTCTGAATAAAGCAACTCGCGTTAAGGACAAAGCAGACTTCTGGATATGGCACGACACGAACATTGTTCGTTTACTTATTCTCTAATCCTTAAACGTATCTTTAAAACATTCTTCGCGGTGCACACACACACACAATACTGTTACGATACTGTTTGGAATATTGTTGCACAGGGATCCATACGAGGTATCTAAAATGAAATCGTGAAATTCGAAAATCACAAGCGATCTGGAATTTAATCGGTGTAAGATTTCGTAGTGTGCTGTATGCATGGAATCTATCGAGCATCTTCGTTCGAATCTATCGAGATTCTATATATTATACATAGCTTACGCACGCAAGAATCAAACGGTCGATAAAAGATAGAATCCTCTCTTCAATGACTTCCTTCTCCCCGAAAGAAAGATTCTCTCAGTTCTTCGTATTCTTCTCGAAGCCAATTCTCGAGGATACCTCCGCGATACACGTCTCGGATCTATTATTATACATAGCTTACGCACACAAAAAAACAAACGGTCCGTAAAAGATATAAATCCTCTCTTCGTCCCTTTTCTCATCCCTTCCTTCGCCGATAGAGAAACGTTAGAGAACGAAGAGATTCTCGCAGCTCTTGGTTTTCCTCTTGAAGCCGAGCAGATGCTTGAGGATCCTCCTGCGGTGCTTGCTCCTTCTTCGCCTGGTCGCTTGGTCCCGGTCACGCTGTGGGTTCAATTTGATTTGCGCCAGTATACCAACTAGGAGCTCGTCCACGTGATGGGCTATCCCGGAGGAAGTTTCGATGAATTTGCACCCGCAGTTGTTCGCCAAACGTCGGCCAACTGTCGGAACCGACGAAGAGGATTCGTGAGATAATTTCCTATCGTCTAACTTCGCGCTGGGACTCAACTACGTAGAATAGATTCGGAGTAATGCGGCTGGAAAGAGGTCTGAGGTTTGGTCTCTTAGTGGAAATCGATTGTGCGTGGTAACTTCGTGCTTGACCTGGGAGATAGATATAGGAGATGGATACCTAGGGATAGATACCTGCATAGAACCTGCATAGATACCAATAGAATTTACATTAAAAAATAAATAGAGGTACAGTCATGATTCTTGTAGATTCAAGTTGTTTCTCAAGCCTGACAGAGGTATATTATTTACAAGTAGGCTACTAGTAGCAAATGCACGACGTAAAACAGCAGTGTTTTCTTAATCTTGACATGATCTTGCTCATTGTTCTCGAACACGTAAGCGTAATTGACTTGCATAGATTTATCATCGTAAAAAATGGCAGCTGTTGGCTTTCTTTGGAGCGACTGGTCATTTTAAAAAGAACCTGATAAGACGTTAAACAACCTTGACCATAAAATATCAGATCACACGACATGGACGAAAATGGGAACAGTGGGACCTCGATTATTTCAGGAAAATGGAGCTAATGATTCTGATAAATTAATATTCATGCACTTTCATCGATAACCGAGGTTTCGGCGATGGAAACTCTATGGTATTGGATATATCCATAAATAACTCTACTATTAATACAATTCAATGAACCGTTTGTTTAATTTTTAGTTAGAAAATTTATTATCGATCACCCAATGGTTACGAAAACACAAGACTTCCGTTACTTACCAACTGATGGGACCTCGCGCTTCCGTTCAAGATCGACTTTGTTCCCAACGAGTATCACACCGTGACTGGCCATGTAATCGCTGTTCCACAGATATAGCAAGGTCTCCTGGGCCACCTTCAGACTTCGACTGTCCACCACAGAGTAGACCACAACGTAAACGTCTGGATTGTAGGTCGAACAGAATGTCTCAACCTAATCGATACAGAAAATTAAGTTAAGTGCTTCTTTTTTCGTGGGAGAAATCTCCTGAACACGTATCTGACCTTGAAACGTGTAGCGAGGGTTCACTAATTACGTAAGGGTCTCGAGGGGTCAGGGGAGGAGGGTTTAAATTGCAAAAGACCTTATGGTTTCCCTTTTAAAAAAATATAAAATGACCTAAAAGTCACGCCTCTAGACGAGCATCCTTAAGGCAAGCGTTACATACAACAATTTTTAATGCGACGCGTGATTCACAAGCTGTTCAGATGGCCCAGCAAATGAAGGAATTGCGAAAAGGAATTTCGAGAAAGAAAACTTCTCCCCGGTGGCCACCGCCCCTCGATTAGGGAAACCCGAGTTCTGAACTATAGTTGAGTCTCCATTCCAGATCCCTCTCGAAACACGCACAGTCTCGTGCAATGGTCACGTTTTTTCTTATTGCAAGCCCTCCTCTTCCTCCAACTCTTGATAATCGTCCCATCGCGTGACCGGGGATCCAAAGATACGTTGATGCTGTCGCCAAGAGTTTCCGGCGGAGTTTACCGAATCGCTTTCCTTACTTCTTAACTTTTGTTTAGCCGATTACACGCGAACGTATTAGCGTGAAAACGATTCGATAAGATTGGAATACACGAGAAACGGATAAGATCAACGAAATACGAATTAGGAGATTAATAGAATTGCATGGAATTAGTATAGTCTTTCATTACGGGCTGAAATTTGTTTAAAAGGATATCTTTTTCCTTTTTAAGAATTTTGAGACTAGCTTCATGTTTTTTTTTTTGCAAACAAAGTAGTTAACACGAACTCTTGAAAATTGGTATGTTTATTTGTACGTGGTTGAACAAGGTTTTATTAAATTTACGAATGGTCTGGTCAATCCGTTTTAAAATTACTCTTTTTCGTTTGGAACGAAAGTGATCGATATAAACTCTTGAAATTTGGTATATTTATGTTGATATTGACAGACACACGTGATCCCCGTTACCATGAACAATGGAGCTTCTATTGTGATACTGAGTTGACTCGTGATAAGCTCAGCTTTTAAACCATGTTAGCAATCCTTTTATTATGAAAGCACGAGTTCGAGGGTACGAGCCCAACGGACAAGAAATAAGAAAGTAGGAAAGTGCACGATCGAGTTTACATAATCGAATGACAAAACAGTGGCTCCCGGGACGTGATAGGTATTGCTGGACCTGATGCTCACCGACATTTCTGCCGCTGGATGATCGATAATTTCCAGTTCTGTTTCTTGACCGTCCAGCATCACTGACACGTTCTTTTGACCATACTCCTCGTCTGGAACAAATTTCGACAATTTCATTCAAATTTCATTACATTTGTTTAATATTAAGCACGACGGAGAAAAGGCTCGCTTAACTCTGCAGTGCAAAATACAAATTATTACAAAAGTTTTAAATTTTACGTTCCAAGAATTTATTGTTCCTTCCAACCAGATCCAATTTAATGAATTTTTATTATTATTTCGCAAACTGCAAGAAACTAGAACAGCTATTTATTATTTGTATTAATTGTTAATAAATGTCAGCTGGCGTTCCCTACGTGATTTTTAAGACCCCGACGACAGGTAATTTCGAACGTGTTAATTATGAACGCCCGAGAGAATTAAGGTTGCGTAGCCGTATGCACAAGCGACGCTTTGAAATTGAAAATTAATTAAAATCGAGCAATAAATTGCACGCGTGACAGTTGTCCACGGAACGTAATTAAACGAACTCGCGATGGATCGGAGATTTGTTTGGCACATGACTGCGCTTTGCTCAAGTTCCGCGCTGATAAAATATTTTCAAACAATCGTGCTTCCAATTTGTGCCGAGATATTCAGTTCTTGAAACGTACAAATATCGCGTGAGCCGCGGAAAACGGAATATTTTTCTGATCAATGTTGCAAACATTATTCTTGATTTTTAACATTTGGCAGTGTCACTGATGAACAGAAAGGAGGATTTTTACGATGATCGCGCAACCCTTTAGGATCGAAAAGCTTCTATCGAGATAAAGGAACTCGATTCTAGACATTGTACGGTATCTCCGATGTTGCCTTAACGTTCGCCTTTATGGTCGTTACGAGTTCCGCGTATGAGTCTGTAAGCGACACAGACCTTATTTTTCCTCGTTACTCTATTTTTCTCAGGTCCGCCTTGAGCCCCTGTACCTCCACGGCCACTTTCCGATCGCGTATGCAATAACCAACGACTGAGTTTTCCTTTACGAGGAATTTTCCGAACTGAGAACAACCAATATGCTTGCTGATCGTTTCGCGAATCCTTCGACGACCCACCTTTTAGGACGTTTACTTTGAAAAAGGCAATTTTTACGAAACGAGAAAGACATCAAACGCGTACAAATACTTTGTCCGTACAGAGTTTTGAAATTATACAATTCTATACAGAATATAAAATGACGTAATAGTACAGCTTCACTTTTATGTAGAATATAACATTATATAATCGTATAACTTTATTTTGATATAGAAAATAAAATCGTCGAATCATTAAATTTATGGTTTTAAGTTAAGTAAGAAGAAAATTGTCCAACTATATAACAGGGTGTCCCAAAAATGTTGAAGGGCCTTGGAAAGGGGTGGTTCGGGGGGTGATTTGAAACAACTCTTTCCTTAGCGAAAATATTGTACATATTCTTGTCCTTTGCTTTAATTTACCTAAATAAAAAAAAGGGGAATGTAATTACACACAACCGCTCCTTTGATGCGGTTATCGTTCACTATGCTACTCCACATGGATACAGTCTCACGATGACAGTCCCTTTGCATTATAATACGAAGGGTGACCGTCCTTATCTCCTCGAACCAGACTCGAAGACCCTATAAACTTCCGAGCCCTTTGAGCTGAACCATCGATATTCACTTTACAAAGTCTACGTTAAAGCTGCTAGTGAATAAATTCTATCGTGATAACAGACCATTCCCTTTGTGCCTGACTTATCATAAATAAAGTTGTCGAGAACAGCGAGGATTCGATGAAAATTCTGTTCGTTTCAAATGGGAATAACGTAATACGCTTCCCGCGAAACGAGAAATATTAATAAAATTATTAAACAAACGGTAAACTTTTTTTCGTCGTTCTCAAAGCTTTGAAAGCTCGTTATTGAGAATTCACTGCGTTAATGTTCGAAAACTTGTTATAATTTCATACTACGAAATCATTTACCATCGTTATATTAGCGTTATTTGAATTTCATGCGAACAAACTACGTCATATAGCGAGAATTTTCTGTTACGATCACGATTTTTATTAAACGATCATTGCATATTTAAAAAAAGAACATTTTTGTCCCAGCTTCTTTAGTTTTCAAGATATTTAAAAAAAACATGGTATTCACCCCCGACTTTAGGGGCTGTGATAAAAAAATAATACTTTTCTTTTGAGAACTACCAATCACATAAATTTTATTAAAATCTTCGTGTGACGATTGGATACGTTCCTTTGGTAAATTGACACGTGGGTTTTGTTATACAGGAACTTCAATAGAGGTACCTAATTAGGGAACCGAAACTTGCTGCCAAAGCGCGCTTGAAAATAATGAAATATGCATATCCCGCTAATCATTGGTTCATACTTAATCGAAGGACGCTTAGACTCTGCACGATACGAGCGCTTTCCTGAGCGTCAAGTGCTATTGGAAAACTGTAACCCTTGCATCAAGGGTCCAGATATGGTTACATTGAAACGAACTTCTTGGAGCTTTCAACGACCGTCGTGCAAGACGTATTGAAACTAGTCAAAGTGGCTTGCAAACTTTCACTCCTGGGCTTAAGTACATTAGGTGTCCCCCTAATCACCTGGAATCACTTAAAGTGCCAACTACAGAAGGTCGAAACGGTAAAATAGCTAGTACGTGAGCAGAATATGCGCTCTCATACTCGGCCACCGCGCGTTTTCTACACTCGACTAGGACCCTCAGACTCTAATTCGGGATCAAATTTAAATTATCCACCACGATTTCAATTTTATTTTTGAGCTTGTTTACGCGCCAACTCGGTCGGTAGCGTAGTTCACCACGTCGATAACTAAGTTTTTATCATCAATTAATCCCACAGCAGATTTTGTTCGTATTAATGTCGACTTATTTACGTAGTGTAACTCAGTTTTTCGTAAGTAGCATTTGAACAAGATTTTATTGAATAGGAGTTATAGGAGAATGGCAAACAGCCACACTTTGAATTCTATATTAATAATAGCAATTTCGCCGAATGGACGTCTCTGCACTCACCCAGAGAAGTGTCGTAAGCGCAGATGTAATCGCTGGTGGTGAACTGGGCGGTGAGGGCGGTTTTCCCCACGCCAGATGCACCCAGCATGCCGACTTTGTAAGTGGCCACTCGTTCGTTGCTCGTGTCCTCTTCGGCCTCCATTCCAGAGAGCTGCGACGCCGAGCTGAAACGTGGCAGAGAAGAAAAAAGGGTACGAGTACGCGGCTGGTTCTCGGAACCGTATCGACCGATGCGCAGAGAGAGGAATAAAAAAAAATAAAGAGTTCATTGTGCGAGTCTCGCCAGTCTTTCTTCGTGATTTTCTTAAAGCCCTTTTGCGTCGTTTCTCTTGCGCCACCAAAGAAACGACGCACCCACTCGAGGCTAAGATCTCTGGTATATTTCTTGGAGCTTATTAAGGACAATTGACAATTTATATAACTTAGGACTAGAACTCTCCCCTTAGAAAACCAAATTTATTCATAAACTTTGTTTTCAGTAATAAACGTAACATTCAACCAGGTCGTACAGAAATTAAAGTGACAAATACTATGATTAATTCGTGCGATGCTGAAGTACTAATTGCATTAACCGAAAGAAAAATGCATTAAGTGAGATAGGCGCATGCTTGGTCCGCCCGTCTGGCTTGAGCGCACCTATTCTACTTGCTACGACTGGTCAGACTCGAAAGACTCGCCAAATGCGGGTTGTCCACGATTGTTTCACGTGGATGGTAAAAATATCGCGTACAGTTGTATTACTATACATATGAGGTGTAGCAATTAATTCCGTGCTTTTATATTCACTCATTTATTATATATTATTTTTTGTAACTCTAGTTTAAGTAGGAATGTTTTGCTTATCATTTTGTTACGTTAAAGTATCAATTTTCTGAGCTCTATCTTGGTAGCCCAATTTTCCTTATTCTTCTTCTTCTTCTAACAGATTACGAGTATAACAAGTAATTGTGGTAATTGCAGAAGAATAACAATAAGCAACATATTGTATACAGAATGATTGTGATGCAGATTAGGCCGAGGCCTAAGTAATTTATACTTTTACTTAAATTATAGTTGCAGTAAATGAATGAGTATAAAGGTAATGAATTCATTTGCACACCTGAAATTTCCAACTCGTACGAAGAACGCATGAAAATAAAACCGCGAAATAGCAACAGTTTATAAAGACGAATGGACGAGCGTCAGTCATCCATTTTATCGCAGCCTGCTCCACTTCTGCAGGTTTTATACCCCCCCGTTTTATCTTTCGCTTTTATGAAACTGAACTGACCTTCGCGAATGCAAAATGACGTCATTCGAAGCCTATACGAGGCCCTGATAAAACGCAATTTCTTCTTTATGTTCCTTCATAAATCTTTACTTACTGTTACGCGATATTTGCAATATCGAGGATCGAGAACGCTTAAATCTTCTTGCCGAACGCACTTTATCGGAGACGACTAGAATTTTATACATCTGAAATGTTCAAGCATAATCGTCCGAACACCTAAACTGTTGCGCCATTTGCAAAAGAATTTTTTTTTTTGCACTGTTTCTTTATGGTACAAAAACATCTGCTCCAATTAAGTGATACGACTATTCGGCAATGTCTATTTTTTACTTTCATTTCGCATCGTTATACTGTCCATCCATTTTAATTATAATTTCCACGAATCTATATGCACTTTTGCCATCCACTTTTTCTATTCGTTAAGTTTGTTTCATTCGACATTATTTCCCAGAAATTATTTCCCATAATGGAGTTTTCCATCGTGTTTTACTGTCCCTCTTGTGATTCACGTGTGCACCGGAGGGTCGTTGTTGGGTTCATTTTTTCTTTCCTTTTTTCCGCGACGTCGACGGATTTACTCATAATTATCCGATTTCGAGAAAACGTGGCGCGGATATTCGGAGGCCGACAGGAAATTCGTTTCACGTGGCGAAAGCCGTGAGCTAACCCCCTATTCCTGACAGACACGAGGGTTTTCCCCGGTGGTATCTACTATTTTTACGCACGGTTCTTCTTCTGCCGCTATTTTCGTTGCTTTCTCGCTTTTATTTCCAGAAAATTCTCTCTCGTTATCTTGCCACAATAATAAATGTTACGTTGACAATAATAGATGTTATTCAGTCGCCACCGATTTAAGAGTATATGGGGGACAATCGCCGTGAAACTGGAGAATCGGGGCAGTCAATAGTAGTGGCGATAGTCACGCGTCTCTTAGACAGGATTCCATTATATCTCTGTTACGATTGAAGATGAAAGAAAATGACAAAGAGGAAAATTGTAGCGTTAAAAGAGCCAAATACCGCTATGTAAATACATCCACCGATCAACGTTATTTTCAAGGTTATCTGTGGGACATCGATTCTTTCTTAACTAGCACCATGTTCGTTCAATTTAACTGCAAAATAAATCCTGAAATAAATCGAGGTTCCGAAGTGTCCAAGATTTTCTGAACCACCTTAACACGTTCGTCAGCCAAAAGATGCACTCCGTCATGGTTGTCTCAATATCCATTTCGAGGGTAGTGTATCACGCTGAAAGATCCTGAATTAGCCGCGATTCGGCCAGTTCTTCTCGCTGTTTACACCTCGATGCCTCGGCTCTCGGTCCAACGTACTCCACAATTTTCGCTATTTTTCCTCCCAGAAGAGCACTTGACGTTATTACATCTTGTTTCGCCGCTATTCACCACCCCCCCACCCCGTACCTGGCGGGAGTTGGGATAACCTTTTGGGATTCGAGGACGATGGAAATCGCGACGGTGAAATTATACGAGACAGGAAAAATGCCAGAAAGGATGGCGAGCGAGCCAGGCCCTTTAATCTCTTTAAGTGGAAGCAACGTAACGAGGAAGGGAATCTTTTTCGGGCTTCCGTCACTCGTTACATTCCTCGTTCGCCGTGAACACCGACGTCGAGTGTAATTGCACGACGGTAATTACGTCACCGCCGTTAATTGCTCCGCGAGAGGAAGATAAGTGGCAGGTTTCGACGTCGAGGTCGAAACATTCTGTGATTGTAACGCTACCAGCCATGGGAATTCAATTATTTCCGTCTTGGCGTACCTGGATGTCTTAGGTACATATTTGGAAGATGTATTAAAATTATATAACATTGGATTTCTTAATTTATATTTGTACAATATTAACGATCCAGGATACGTAGCGTTATATGGCAGTGTCCGTTTTGAAATTCCCATAACAAATACTGATAATTCAAAACCACGAAAGCTTGTATGCTCTCCTCGGTATACTTTACGACTATCTTAAACCAGGAAATTGTTAATCCTCCGCGGAGTCGTTTAGAACGCGTCATAAACTGTTGACTAAGTGGTTTATATTCGTACCTCCGTAATCTGGCCTCCTTGGTGCTGCTGCAGCTGGTGCCCGAGGACGTGACGCTGTTGATGCTCCTGCTCCGTCGGCTCTTCAATGAATCGCCAAGGTTGTAGACCCCGTTCGCTGTTATGGAAAACGACCTCAGCCTGTAATATTCCACGCCATCCTCGGTTTCGCCCTCCTCGGCGCCACCGGCACCGCCGCGTTTCGTTTCAACGAGCATCGGCTGCGACAAAAACAAATTCATCAACCGATTAATACGGTTTTTGTAGAAACGAAAACAATTTGAGGGTGTTCGGAACATGTAAACAAAATAAAAATCACTCGATAATAATATTTGAAACGTTATATGCTACGTTGCTGATGATTCAATAATACAGAGGAATTTTTTCAAATTTTACCTATCTTCCATTTAAAAAAATTCTTAAGTCTGCGTTTGCAGTTACGGTTGCGCATGTTTGCAAAGAATTGACGAGGGCACGATAATCATTAATTTTGTGGTCGATTTGATGTGTCTTCTTTTGAAGAGAGGTCGCGTACCAAATTTCAACGGAATACCAAGATTTACGATCGCAATTATGGTTGCGCGTATTTTTAAAGAACTGACAACGTTGGTCGTTAGCTCGTCGACACGTTTCTTGCTCCAAATTGAATCAACGTTTTAAACGTCTCGCGACCTGATAAAGTGCCAGTAATCTGCGAAGCTGCCTTGCGAACAAAGATTAGGGTCAAAGCGAATCCCAGTGCATCGACGTGTCCATTATGCGAATTACGGGGCGTCGGCGTCGTTTCAAACTGACGTGTCGCGTTTCAGCCTAATTTTTTACATTTACGAGTAGTTCGTATAATTATTAAAGAATTTTTAAATAATTGTATACGTTATTGTATATCATATCTCTTTTTGAAATTAAACATTTATATCTCTGTTTAAAACACTCCCAACATATTTACCATAGAACAAATACATTTCGCATACTATTATACATGCGTCTGCTATTAATTTCCTGATTGCAGTTAGTTTCTTCTTCTTTCTTTTAGCTTGGAATTCGCTATTGCAACGATCCGGATCGTTTTTCGTACTTCTGACGTGGAAATCTGTCCGACATCGACGTCGTTAGACGAACACTACTCGATCGACGGATAAACTCGTCCTTTTTCGACGTCTCGGAGGATCGAACCTGACGGATCTCTGTGTAATCTGTCTGTTCCCTTTGTTAGCTGACTCTCTCTCGCGATGGAGGGTGAGGGATCTACTTCTTTCCACGCTGCGAACGGGGAAAAACCCTTTGCTTTCGTTGCGATTGGCTTGGTGGAGCCTCGAGTAGTATTGGTGTTGACGGTGTACTTAGTTAAGTGCTCAGAATGGGAAAGGAACATCTACCCAATCGAAGCACGTCGATTTTTGTAGAATTTTCGCTAAAATGGAGACTTACACAGAAATACAGTGTGTATTTATATTTTTTAGATCTTAAAAGAAAGTAAGAATAACATGTATCATTATTACAAAATACAATATGTATTTGTAGTTTTAAGTATAGAATTATAGAAGTTGTATAATTCTATGTTTAAGAATATAAATACATATTTTATTTTATACAAAAGTACAGTATGTATTTATACTTTTAAATATAAAATTATACATGATGTACAATGTTCGTGTCTTATAAATCTCACGAGAAGTTAAAACGTAGTTATGCAAAAAATACGGTATGTATTTGCATTAAAAAAAAAATTGAATCATCAAGAAGTATACCTAATGTTTAATATGAATTTGGTACAATATTTTTGAACCTGTATTTTGACCATGAACACGAACTTGAACATGACTATGAATAAAAAATACGTGTTTGGTCACCTTTAAATCCTCTCTGTACAAAGCTTCATAAAAACGGTCGCGTCACAATCGGGCCAGTGTTCCTTGTTAGGAACAATTTTTGTATTCTGTTACCATCGAGAGCAGGGAATGTATTATTGAAAAGGATTCAACGCAAATTCTTTCGTTACCCAGCCCACACATGCCGTGCCGTGTGCATCGATTTTTACCCGCACGTGTACGTACTTTTCAACTCTCGCTCCTCCAATCTTCCAGATATCAAATTAATAATTCACATTAATTCTTCGTTTCTGCGTTTGTCGAATTTCAATCGGAAAATGTACGTTAATCCACGAACTCTGGACTTCTTGAATTTCGCTCAAATAATTCCGACATTTTTTACTGAAATTTTGAATAATGCATTATTAAATCGATACGAGTTGGTTTAAAATTCATTATTCATGTGCGTACTTTTATAGAATTATTTTTATGGAACAATCGTATCGTCTACCAAAATGGTTTCAATGTTTCGTAGTGAAATTTTAAATAATAAATTATTACATCGATACGAGGTGGTTTAAAATAAATTACCTATAGGTGCGTTTTTATACAATTATTGTTGTGGAAGAATCATACCGCTTTCGATCGAGTTTTTGATAATAAACTATTAAATTGATGAGCGTGCTATGGTTTATATCGAATCACCTATATGTTTATTTTTATGGAACAGTCGTCGCCTACCACGATGAGGCTCGCGAAGTTGCTCGCGGCGAATCAACCATGAGAAACGTCAGTGGCGGTGTTATCGGCTGATTTCTGTCAAAACTGATAAAACGAATCCAGTAGCTAGGGCGTTTTCCCAGGATCGCGACACAACCGATCCACGGTTTCATCGAAGGTTAAGGACGGCGATGTTGCACACCATCGGGAGAATCGTCCCGTTAGTCATCGACGAGTTCAATCACCTCGACCTTTCGATCTGGTGAATGTTCCTTAACCCTAAAACCCTCGCGAATGTTCGCAACCCTTCCATAATCACACGTACGAGAGATATTTTCACTCAACATGCATCGGTACATCCTAATAAATAAAAAAAAAAAAAAAACAACCGAGGTTTCACCAAAATATGAACTATTTATTACAAAAATAATAGTTGTGAACTCTCGACCCCTTTCTCGCGACTTTTACATCGTCACATATCTATTCTTTCTAATTTTCCCATGTACAGACGAAAGTCGAGAACAAATTACTATTTCTCTACATCGCGTACAATTAATCGTCCTTGTCGAACCTTCCTGGAAACTTCTAAATCCCTTACTCGAGACCTTTCCAGCATCTGCATCACCGCTCGTTAGCTGATAAAATTCCTCGCGGAGCTTCCTTCTTCAAAAAGGATAATTAACTCGCCTCTAATTGTCTTTCGAAGTAACTCGAGCGCCATTCGAGTAATCCACTTCGATTGCAGTTCCCGATGTCAAAGAAAGCGTAGACGTTTCTGAAGTAGCCGATCGAACCATCGAAGGGCATCGTCAGCTCGAGGATAAAACAGTGACTTGTGGAGGAGAGGCTCGAAAATGCTCCTTTAGGAGCTACATCGTTCGAGAGCATTCGCGATCTAATGCGATCGAATCCTGCTTCGATAAGAGTCCAATTTCGTAGGAAGGATTTCAAAGAAGCGTAACATTCCATGTAGATTTTTAAAATTCAAGTTAAATATGTCAAAAATGTCAACAATTTTAGTTGCTTCCATTAATCCACGAACTTTGGATTTCTTGTATTTCACTCTAACAATTCCGACATTTTTTACCGAAATATTGGATAATGCGTTATTAAATCGATAGGAGTTGATTGAAAATTCAAAGTGATACTTTGGTGAAAGAGTGGATCCTAGCTGAACAATTTTGAAGTTATCACTCTTATGTCAGTTATATTGAAAATACATTGAATTTTAGAGCCTCCAATGTGCATAATCTGTTAACAAGTATGTTATTAGACGAACCATTGGATTCTAGTAAATATTTGATCGTAATGAACCGTTGCTCCTTCGCTGCGGTGGCTTTCAACGCCTCAATGTTCCGATCGGGCTTAAACTTCCGAGATAATGCCTTGTTTACCTTCTGGTTTGAGTTACAGTATCGCGTTTATGTGATGCAGCTTCCGGCGGAGTATTTACGATACTATAGCGATCGATAGATAGCAAGGGTTTGAGTTGTTCTGAGTGCTGGGTATTACTGTACCCTCGGATTGTCGTAACTTATATTTGTTGTTATATCTTATGTCCTTCAGATCGTTACAACTAATGTTCCTCGTGTTATCATTGATATCTCTTAAGATTCTTATATCTTATGTCCTTCGGATTGTCACAACTCGCATCTCTCACTTTCGAAGATTTCGATTCAAAGAATCAAATTTTAATGTACACTTTTTGAAAGCATAAGCTGCAGGATTACGTTAGTAAAATTATACCGAGAGATACGTGAAATTGCAGCTAATTCGATTGCCCAGTGGTGCGTGATTCCGTCGTCAACCTAATCGAAGTGACACGTCATGAATGTGCCGAGTTTTTCGGACCTCGGGAAAAGCGCGAGGGACGTGTTCAGGACGGGCTATCATTATGGCAAAAGTCTCATCAAGCTCACCGCAAGGAAGACGGGCGGAAATTTTGAAATGGGCAGCGACTTGTCCTTGAACTGCGATGAAATGAAAGTAAGAACGGACGTTTGTAGGTACGCGATAAAATTAAATTGACGATCCTAAACAAAAATAATTCAGATAAAAATCTGAAATTATTTGAGCTTCTTCCTATTACTATAAGCAATAACTCTGGTAAATTTCAAATCATTTCATTAATTTTTACCCGAGTTACAAAAAGGAAAGTGACCAATCGAAAAAATATATTTTCCGTTTAAAATCTTCGATGGTTTGGGGCACGTGTTAATGTTAAAATTAAGAGGCGGAATTTTACAGGAATTTTGTTTTATGTAAGGATGACTTTAGTATATATCTATATCATTTGGTATTACGTTTGGATGTATATTTGGATTGGATGTATCGCAGTTAACAGGTACAGCGGACGCGGAGTACAAGACTGCGGATTATGGAAGCTTCTTGGAGAAATGGACGACAGATGGTACGGTGGTCATTGGCTATTTTTTCGGTCGAACCCCGATACCAGATACCGGTCTACGCACGGAAATTAGTTACAACCCAGGAACCGCAGCCAAGGCCATGAAGATTGGCGCCAATTGCAACAAACAGAATTTCAACGCGCTCTGTTCCATCTGTTAGTTCCCTTCGATGTTTACACACTTTTTGCGCGAGCTATTTTGCAGTTTCTGTAAGTGCGCGCCCATTTCGTCGACGAGTGGAACGCACACGGTCGATAACCGGAAATGGGGAAAATTCTTGTCCGA